CATATTCACAATCGCTTTAACATGCCCTTTCTCACACATTTCAGTTACATACAGTATTCATATTCATTCACGGCACACAGGCCCACATTCATTCACAGCACACAGCACATGTGCCCATATTCACCCACATCACACTTAAACATTAAATCCTTATTAGACTTTACTACAATCAAATCACATTATTAAATCACCAATCAATGGCATTTCACAATATTCAATCATCCACAATGGATTCAACCATCTCATCACACATCACGTTGCATTCAAACACATAATAATTTCCATCAAAACACATATTTCTTACTCTCTATCTCAGCCACATTACAATATTTAACAGAATAAACAGTAATCAAAACACAATGAGATAGAGTAGAAATAGGGTAGAAAACATTCCCACATGAATTTCGTCCCTCTAAGCGTTCCCAACACGAATCCAATCTTCAATCTAACTCCCGAACAACTTTGGAGGCAATTTAATCAGTGAAATAGGGATTTTGGTCAAGAGAATCGAATATATGTCAGAGAGAGGAATGTGAAAATGAATTTCTCAAACCCTAACCCCTTCAAATACCACCAGTCTTTAGCTTTATGTGTCATTCCTCCTTTGACTCGTCCTTTACTGATGGCGATACCCTTTTAGATGATAATCACACCGATTATTCATAATAGACATTGTTATTTTATTTTTGACATTAATTCTTTCGGTGTTTACTTCTTCATTTGTAATGACATTTTAATTTTACATTTTATAAATAATTTTTTATTTTACATATATAATTTTGTAGTTTTCATTATATTCATAAATTGTAATAATTAGAAACAACGAGAAATAATTATGTTTGTAAAAAATAAGTGGAAAAAAAATTCAAATATCACAGATAAATTATAGACGGATTTTTTCTTCTGTAAAATATAAACAGGTTTTTTCGTCTGTAAAATACAAACAGATTTTTGCGTCTGTAACTTATAGATGGATTCAAAAATCCATATGTAATTATTTACTAATGAGGATATTACATATGGTTCTTACCTGTCTGTAACTATCTGTGATTCTAAAATCCGTTTGTAATGATTCAAAAATCTGTCTATATTTGTACATTTTGTAGTACTGAGAGAGATGAAGAGAACTATGAGAAATGTACCTACAGCTGTGAAAGAGACCAACTTTGTTAGTGCAAAGAAGACGAAGAAAAAGAAGAGAACCTACAAATGTGAAAGAGAGACCAATTTTGTTAGTACAAAGAAGACGAAGTAAAAGAAGAGAACCTACAAATGTGAAAGAGAGACCAACTTTATTATTGTAGTGAAGACGAAGAAAATTTATAGTTAAATAGACCAACTTTGTTAGTGCAAATAAGACGAAGAGATTTATAAGATGTGAGTTAAGTGTGCTTCATTTATAAATTAATAATTGTTAGGCATATTAAAATTTTAATTTGTGAGAAAAAAGACTTTGGAGAGTAGTTCTCTATTAACTGCTCTCAAAAGTTATTGCACTTGCATGTTTCAAATTCTTTCATCTCCAACATATTCTTCCTTCAAATGATCTCGATTTGCTTTTATTGATTTGAAACTCATGATTCTTGTGAATGTGGTTTGAGAAACACCAACAAAAAGACACGCCTTTCCTTTTGCCTTTCTTATTTTTCTCTCCTTATGATTCTTGTGATTCAGGACATGGTAGGATTGGAGCAAAAGTACCTCATAATCTTCTTCGATAACTTCTCAAAGATCAAATGCCTTTAGGTAAGACTCTATCCCCATTGTCTAAATATCATAATTTTCTCCATCAAAGAGAGCAACTTGAGAAAAACCTTGATTTAGATTTCATTTTGAGGTCTCGTAAAAGATTGCCTCTCAATACCAATTGGTGTTTTTAAGAAATAAAGATAATTGTGAATACCCAATTTTATCCGGGTCCTTGTCAAAAATAAATTTTAAAATAAAAAATAAAATATAATAATTTCTTTTTTAAGAGGTTAAGAAAGTAGATAAAAAAAACTAATTTAAAATTTAAATTCAAATTTTTAATTTTTAAATGTAAAATCAGATTTAGAAATGATCAAAGTAGTTAGTAGATTTTTAAGAAAATGGATAAAAAAGAAAAAAAAAATTGATTACTGGTCATTGGAAAATAAGGGAGCCTTTATTAGGATCTAGGGTTTTAGAAAATGCCTATAAATAGGAAGCTTAGGTCATCAGAGGAAGGGACTTTGAGGTGGACACCTTTTATTTTCTTTACGGAGATACTTTGAGAGCACAGAGATAATTCAAGAAAGAAAGCTCAAGAAACAAAGAGAAAGAGAAGATTCAAGAGAGAGAGCTCGAGAACAGAGAGAAAAAGGAAAGAGTTAAAAAGAATCAACTGAGAGTTAAAGCATAGTCCTGGAGATCAATTGGAAAGAACATATCTAGAAGGTTGAAGGAAAAGTCGACTCAAAAACTCTTAGTCATAACAAATAAGTCAACAAAAATATAATCCACTTCTTTTTATCATTCGGTAAGAACTACTATTTTCTTTTTCTTTTGTTGTTCCTTTTTTCTTTTACTCATCATATCTTCATGTGTTCTTTTTTTTTTGTGTATTAAAAGTTTTTTTTTGTGTGTATTAAAAGTTTTTCCTCTTACAAATCCTAGTTTATCTAACCTAAATTTTTTTTCTTTTCTTATAAACTTACAAAATTTTTAATTTTCTTTTTACCTCTAAAATTTTTCTTTCTACAAATCCCAATTTTTTTTAACATGAAATATTTGTTCATTTTGTAAAAAAAAAAAAAACTTTTTTTTTTACCCCAAAAATCATTCCTTTTGCAAAATCCTAAAGAATCTAATTTTTCTCCAACAACCTTTTTTTAATGATAAACCCTCTTTTTTTTCGTAAACCTAAAAACTCTAATGTTCTTTTAACCCTAAAACCCCTTAGTCAAACTCTAAAAATAAAATCCAAATCCATAAATTTTTTTTTTTTCTAACTCTGAGTATTACCTTTTTTTGCAAACCCTAAAAACAAACTATTTTTTTTCTAACTCTAAATTATTCTATTTTTGCAAACCCTAAAAATAATATTTATTTTTCTAACCCAAAATCATTCAATTTTATTGCAAGGTGTAAAACAAACTATTTTTTTCAACCCTAACAATTTTACAAATTATAAAAATTTAATTTTTCCAAATCTTAAAAATTCTTTCTTTTCATAAATTTTAAAACCCTTAATTTCTTTGCATATCCTAACCTAAAGAAAAACTTACTTCCTAAATTGACTAAGAGTTATTTACTCATCATTTTTGTTTGCTCTTGTATTTGTTTATTTGTTCTGTATGTCTCTCGTTTGTTTTTTTTTTTTTCGTGCAAAAATCTCATGTTAAAAGGTATATCAATTTTGCATTATTATAAAAAAAATGAGTCTTTTGAATCCACGCAACGACCAAGTAATTTTGATAGAGTGGAGGATCCACCTTCAACGTTGCTTGGATCATAAGGGTTTATTGAGTAGCCGTGTGCTAACTTGAACTATGTGCAGGAGTGGATTTACTGAAAAATGATAATAATAAAGAAAAATCAAGTTTTTTTTCACAAAAAAAAGAAAGAAAGAAAATCTTTGAAACTTATTCAAAACATAATTCTCGAAAAAGAACTACGTGTAGCTTTGATTCCTACGTTACACAGGGAGGATACGTAGGAGCGGGAACCTGACCTGTCAAGTCCAATTTTTTTAAATTCTTTTTTAGGTTCAAAATATTTTTAAAATTATTTTAAATTAAGATTAATTTCTAGCACATTTTCTTTATAGAAATTAAAAAATAAATTTTTTATTTTATTTTAAAAATAGGAAATAAAAAAATAAAGTGTTAAGATAAGTTTTTGTTTTACTATAATATTTCTTTAATACAAAAAATGAGAAAAAAGAATAATATTTTTACAAATTACTCATTCCTTTAATTCAAATAATTTTTATTGTGTTTCCTTATTTTAAAAAATGAAATTAAAATCTCTTAAAAAATTTGTAAAAATTAGAAATAAATCTAAAAATAATAATAACAACAAATTTGAAAATAGTAAAAAAAAATATTAATTAGTTTCTTTTAGAGTGAAATAAATATTTTTTAAAGTTAAAATAAAATTTTGCACAATTAATTAGAAGGTAACCGTTTTAACCAACGGACGTCATAAGGTGCTAATACCTTCCTTACACGTAAACGACTCCTGAGTCCAAATCTGGTTTCAAAATTTTTTTTTTAATTAAAAGTTTTTCCAATGTTTTCTTTAATAAACTTTTGTGGCCGTGTCATAACCATCCCGTTGTGACCCTGGTTGCGACAGTAATAGCAAAATAGAGAAAATAAAATACTGAAAAAGAAAGAATAAATAAAAATTTAAAAAGAAATAGATCATGAAAATTTTGTATTTTTGTTTTATTCAGCTACCAATGCAATACATTATAATTCTTGTAGTAAAAAAAAAACTGATAAAACTTAAATATTGTCTCTTAAAGTTTAGGAACAATTACATTGACTAAGAAACTTATTTAACAACTGAGTCAATGAAAGATAAAATATAACGTGCAGTTTAAGAGCACTTTTCTTAACAGCCAATCATAATTTTAAAGTTTTTGCAAAACAGTATGTATGGTTAAGCATTATACACAAAAGAGAAAAAGATTAAACAAAATATTTTCAAGGACATTTTGAATCACTATGATGCATTAATTATTTAAAAAAAATGTTTTAAAGAAGAGATGTTCTGAAAAAAAAATAAAAAATTCGTAATATATTTGGTTAAGATGACTTGTTGATCATAGAAAGCCTTTGTCATCAATTGTTGGGCTTGAAATTAAGAAATTTTGTTGACCAAGGAGATCATGAACATGAAAAAAATAAGAGATGCCTAAAGAAACTTATTCTCGTTAATATAAATAACTTGGATATATGTTTCCCATACTCTCTTCTTCTCTTCTACAATAATTTGGTGAAAAAATGAATCACACCATAGTTAGAATAAGTTTACAGTGAGTTGACACAGAGATAGGGAAGGAGCTGGAACATGTTTATAGCAGAAGAGTCCAATAAAAGCCAAACTAGAAGCCATGCAGCTAAAACATTTGACCCAAACAATCTTTTCTCCTTGCAGAATGCATCATTCTTCTGCGGGGCACTGGCTGTTTGTTTACTGCTTGCAGGATTTGATCCAACTGCATCTGCATAATACATTCATGAATGACACTTAACATGTTTTATTATTGACCAATCACAATAAGTTAGCACTAAACAAAGTTTCATTTTCATAGTAATGTCATTACCAGAAGGACTGGATGCAGGACTTGTGCTACTTTTGTTGGAACCTTTCTCCAATTGATAAAATACTTGAGCCTCTGGTGATTTGGGATCCATGTGCAGCAGCTCTGTCCATTAAAATTTCACAAATTAATTACTTTTTTATGGGATGGCCCAAAAACTAGCATAGTAAATGATATTAAAAAAAATCATGATTTTTTCGCATCATAAGTTTTACACCCACCTTACACTTCCATCTATATGTCCTTTTCTACTCACATCACTCCTCTCATTTATCATTTTGTTATATTTTCCTTCCTATCTCATTTATCATTTTATTCAATGTAAGTTATATATAATAAATGCTTAAATTCAAATCAACGGTTAATATGCGTTCATTTTCTCAGTTTATCCAAAAAAATTTCACTTTAGATTAACTATATCTCAACTAATAAGATACCTCCCTCTCATAACCCTTTTTCTTGTTTACAAACTATTATCAGAGCCCCAACTAATCATTTCACTAACTATGAGACTTACCTATCACTCACCCTATACACCCTTTGAGGGGTGACAAAAAAAATTGCTCTTAAAAATTAACAAGTTAGAAAAAAATGTTACCGGGGCACTTGGAGATGTTAGCAGGGGCATTGCAAACTGTTGGGAGGCTCAAAGCTAAGGTCACATTAATCTGCAAACCACCCAGATCAGGATCATTACGATCTTTGATAATTACACACAAACACTTGTTGTTGTTCTTGAGCACTTGCTTAAGACCGCTACAACAATCTGCTGTTGGAGATTTTGCTTGACCCCCAACATAAGGCAAGCATGTTGCTAGCCCTGCCAATTGCTCCGTGCATTCCTCTATGTCCTTGGATGAATCTCCCATTGCACTGCCCACTATCATTGTTGCTAGCAACAATAAGTGCGCCATAACTTTGGTATTATTGTAGCACATTTTTCTGTTTCGTTAAGAAAATGAAGAGTTGTGCGAAGTAGTTGAAGTGATGTGAGGTTGGGAGTACTTAAATATTGTCACAAAAGTATGCTGTTGGTGAAGAATGGTATTTGTTATATCAAGAAAAAGAAGTGTTTTACAAATGTCATTCTTAACGACATTAGTTAATTTTATTAGTATTTTTTTACCAGATTATAATTTATTATTTTAGTAACTATTAAATATAAATTAAATGAAAAAGTTAAATTAAGTGTAAATTTTTTTGAAATTAGAGTAACGTAAAGGATTTTTTTTCCTGTATATATATTTAACAACTCTTAAGATAAGAAAGAGAAAAAAATATGAAAAGAAAAAAATGTGATGTAGAGTGTATACTTTTATAATTTTGTTGTAAGAATAATTTTAATATTTTAATTGATGTTATGATAGAGGGTTGGAACAAGCAACGGAGAATAACATGCCACTTCTGAATTAGTTTACCTTTTAAATATGAAAAGGCAAGAAAACAATGGTGTGGACAAAACTCGAAAAGTACATTAACTCAGTGCGTCACTTCACCAACCCACCAACAAGCCAAAGCAAATGATGCATAGGGACTTTAGTGACCTCTTCTGGCAAGCGTGGATGACAAGTGGCTGGAAAGCATGATATCAATGTCTCCAACTCATTCACAACAAAGTTGAAATATGGATCATACAATGCATTAAGTTTAATTAAAATTTAAATTTTAAAAATACTATTTATTATTATATTTCTTTTAATAATTTATTCACTTTTATGATAACAAGTTTAAAAATATATTGAGATTTTTTTTTAATGTTTTATGTTACGTAAAAAAAAAAGTTGAATAGATAAGGAGTGTTTAGACATGTAATGTGTTCGTATCATACATGTCACCAACTCTGACACTTCAAGTAAGAAAAGTGTTCTTAGTTTTATAATAATAATTTAGAATCATTTTAATATAAAAATCATTTTAGAGATTATTTTCTCTCATATTAGTTCTCAACATAATTAATAACTTTTGACTCAATTATGTCACCTCAAAACATGAAATAAACACCGGTAGAATTTTAGTTTTTCTTACAAAATTTCGTGCCAAAATTTATGAAGAATTTGTAAAAAAAAATGAAAAAAATATTTGTAGATAATTATTTTTACAAAAACAAATCATTAATAACCGTAAATTTTGATAGATATAAATTTGTAGATTATTTTCTGAAAAAAAAATTGCACAAAAATATGCAAAAAAATCCATAAAAAAATTCTTAAAAAATTGAAGGTAAATCTACGAGTAAGTTTTTTTACTAAAGTAATATAAAAAAAAATTTTAAAATTTTGCAAGTAAATTTGTAGATAATTTTAAAAAGAAAATTTACAAGAAAATTTCTTACAAATATATTAATAGAAAAATTTCCTATAAAATTAGAAAAAATTTGTAAAAACATCTTCAAACAAACACTTTATATAACTATTTTTATAATTAAATTTATAGAAAAATTTTGTAACTTTATTTTGATGTCATCAAATTGATATAAATTTATGAAAAAATAATAAAAAAATATTAAAATACTTAAAACAAGTTTTAAATAATTTTAATAGTTTTTATCAAAAATAGTTCATTAAAGTTGTTGATTGTTTCCTAGTTTTGTTTGTTTAGTGTCACGACCTCTTTTATAAGAAACCGAAAACATTGTTTCTACTTCACATACTTATTTAAGATAAATAAATAATAGAGAATATAAGTATAAAATTCACTTCTCATTCAAAATAAAATTAAGTTTCTTACAACAAATATCTAATAGAATAATATAATATTACATTTAGTTCATAATATTCAAAATACTTAAAATTACACTACGGAGCTCCCTCTACATGAGGTCTCAAAATATAAAGAAAAAGGATTTTGATGCAAAATCACTCTATTCCAACTTCTAACATTTCTCTACTGGCTCCTCAGCCTGAGAAGTAGATGTAACACCTGTGACACGAGGTCGCACACGGGTCAAAATAAACCTAATTACTATAGTACGAGGTAAGCAACCAGGGTCGTTTCTCAAAGAATCACAATGACAAATTAATCTATTTAGAGAGTGTATAAGACAGGGGGTTTGTTCATAAAGGAAACAAAAACGCACTTAATTATAATTAGAGTGAAGAGTGAACAGAAATTGAATTTCCAATCTAAGAATTAAGAAGAAAAATGACTACTCTATCACTGGATTTTTAAGAGAGTACATCAACAAACAATTCAGTAATTAACAATGAATCTGAATGAAACTTCAATTCGAACTCAGCATTCACATGAAAACCTTCATGCATTCGATTAGCACATAATTAATTAAAATTAAGAAAACTCTAGAACCTAATTGAATTGTGCCAATTTAATTTACCAATGTCGTTAATCGTAGTTTTCAAACCCGAAAATCCAATTCATGTTCCTTAAAACTCAATTACATACATCAATCGAATAATACGTAATCAACCAGATGCATAATCATAAATCCAAACGAATAACTTCAATTCAAAAATATAATTAGCAAAAGGGAGAGAATAAGGAATAGATGAAACTCAAAATTGTTATTGAATTTATGTCAATGTGCGATCAATCAATCTTCAAGAGTGTCACGTCTCTTTTAATCCTTGAATCAGATGGGAATCTAAGCCTCCATCGATGGAGGAAAACAATTCATGAAAGGAAAAAAAACAAAAAAAAAACAGAGAGAAGAGAGAAGAAGAGAGGAGAGGAGCCAAAAACAACTTAAAATTCAAAAATTTCGTTCGTCACTTTGTTCTCTTTTTTTTGGGAATGAAAACGGCCTCTTTTTGGTTCGTAGCCTAAAGGACAATTGTAGCCTTGGATGTTAGCTTCAAAACGCCACTAGAATGAGCTTAATCGGATATCTGTGGACTGAGATATGGCCTAAATACTGCACCTTACTCAGGATCCGCAACTACAGCGTTCTGGCATTTTTCAGGCCCAGTTTCATCTTCTTATCATCAGAATTGGTTTCTGACCTCTGCATAGGAATTGTGCAAGTTTCTCTTAGCTTTCCTACAAATCAAGAATCACAATGAAAGGAGTTCTACAACTCAAGATATGGTCCAGAAACCAAAACAGTACTAGAATTTACCAAATACTGGAAAAATTAAATAAAGCCCAAATAAAATTCAAACATCATAAAATGATCCAATTCAACCAATTAGGCACAAAAGAGAATTAATGAGCTAGAAATTAGAGGAAATAATGTTATAAAAATCCAATTGATCAACCTGCTACATCTGCTCACGTACCACCGTACGATCATCGCAGTACACACGCACACAACGACATAGAAAGAGAGCTTACAATAAAATAAAATAAAATTGTATGTATATATAGAGAGAGCAAAACATTACTCACAGCAACAGCCCCATGTATTACCAACCCATCTAATGCACAACATGAAAACGGTTTCCAACTGGTTTCACAGTCTAAGTAATCTAGAAGGAACTAAGCCGGTCTGGGAGCGACTCATTATGGTATTTGGATCCAGACAGCACAGCACAACAGCTCAGCATGAACTTACCGTTACACTTTGACCCACCTAAACATGTTACTCGACTCTATAATAATGCAAAACATATATCTCAGCATGATGCAACACCGCTAAAATTATTTTAATAGCTCAATTAAGATAAGTTTATGATAGATCAGTAAAAAATCTCAGCATTTTAATCAATTAACAGCAGTTACAACTTAGAAAATAGCTTTTATTCAACAGATCTAACAAAATCATATCAAAACATCTCGAAATAGCATATTAAACTTCAAAATGTAGTTCATAGGTTAAAGTAAACTCTCCTTACCTTAGAACGGTGATTCACTCCAAATCTACCTAATATTACTTGTTTTATAGCAAAATTCACCAAAGATTTGGCTTTAGAATGAAGTTTCTCCTAAGAACACCATGAACTTCAATGAGAAAGAGAAGAAGAAAAGAAACGAACGGTAAATCTAGTTTCAAACTTAAGGAAACTTACTTCAAATCCCTTAGAACGGACCCAAAATCACAAATCTAGAGAAAAATCTAAGTTAAGGAGGGTTTAATATGAGAGAAAATGGTAGTATATGGCCTTGGAACCTTTGAGAAACTTGGATAAGAGTGAAGAAATAAAAAATTTGTGTGAAGCCCCCTTTTTATAGAAAATTTTTGAAATGTACTGTTCACCGCCAGAATTACTGTTCATCACCGAAAACAATGTTCACAGCCTTACTGTTCATGCCGGAAACACTGTTCAGGACACTATTCACGCCAGAGACACTATGCACATGCACTGTACACGCATTGTACGCGTATGTGACGTCACTGATGATGTCAGCGGTCACTGTACATACATGATTTTACTATTCATATGCAGTTTTACTGTTCATTGACACTGTTCATACGGTACTGTTCACTTTTTTTTTTTTTTTTAAATAATTTCAAACTTTATCTAAATCTATTCCAATACCAAATAATTCTTCAATTAACATTTAACAAGTATAGATTACTCAATAATAGATTATAAGCCTGGCAATTCTCCCCCTGAAAAATAAATTTTCGTCCTTGAAAATTTCATCCCTCAGAGAAAAGATGAGGGTACAACTCTCTCATTCTTTCCTCTAACTCCTATGTGGCATCACCAGTTACTAGGTCCCAAACAACCTTTACTAATTGAATAGATTTGGCTCTAAGTTCCTTAACTCTAATGTTCTCGATACGAGCAGCTGGGACCTCCACAGACAAATCATGTTGTAACTCCAACACATCAGACTCGATTACATGAGACAAATCAGGAACATACTTCTTTAGTTGCGACACATGGAAAACATTATGTAGTCCTGACAACTGAGGTGGTAGCGCTAATTCATAGGCTACTGGTCCTGTACGATATAATATCTGATACGGTCCTATGAACTTAGGTGTTAGCTTCTTGGCTCTTAAGGCTCGCCCCACACCTGTAGTGCATAATACTCTCAATAATACGTGATCACCAACCTCAAATTCTGGGGATCTTCTGCGTCGGTCAGCATAAGATTTTTGTCGACTCTAGGTAGCTCTCAGTTTTTCTCTAATAAGTTCAACTTTCTCCTTAGTTTCTTG